AATATATTAAAATTTATTGCACTTTTATATATAAATAAAATAGTAACTATTGATAATACTGTAATAAATAACAATTTCTAAGAAAAATTATCTTATTAATTATTCTTCACTAACACTAATATTATTTTCAGCTAATATATTTTTGACTTCTTGAAGAATATTTACTAATTCTTTACAGGACTTATTTAATAAACCATGAAAGCGCGATCGATCTAAATCACCTAAAGAAGGAATTAAAGAGATAATAATAGATAAAATTTCTGATTTTTTTAAAGAGCCTTTGCTTTTTTGAAGTTCTGCCTCATCACATGTTATGAGAATTGGATACCAAATGCCTAAAAGTGTTTTTTTAATTAATGTTGCTTTAATAAATTCATTTCTTTTCATACTCGCGATTTCACTAAATCTTATCATTTGTTTGCTTAATGTCAATTCTCTACCTAGATTTTGAAAAATACGATTATCAGCATTTGGATTTACAAATTGAGCTTTTCTTATCTGAACCTGGAATTGACGTGATTCAGCAATAAAACTGGGATGTGTACAAGGCTCATTGGCTTTACTTTCAGAGTATCCTATTATATTAAAAATGTTAGTACGCAATTTTGAAAAATTAGTACAATTATGTGCCGCAATTTTCCAATGCTATTGTGAAGGTATTGGAGGAATTAATGATTTCAATGATTTGTTAATTTCTTCAAGTATTGCATCATGGCCTTGGTGTTGGTTTGAAAGTTTGGATCGTGAAATAACAACCCTTTCTTGGATTAAATTTTGAATTTCAGGCCTTAATCGTAGCATTTGTTCTTTATCAGCAATTTCGATTAATCGATAGATTGGATACTGTTGAGCAGACCAAATAGGTGCAAACATTCACCTAGCTGCAAACTTTAGTGAAGGTCTATTAAAACGAACACCAGTACAAAAGTTAATAATTGCTTGCAAATAAATAAAAGTTTGTTCATATTTTAACCTAAACATATAATCAGTCTGATTTTGAGCCCATTTTAAAAATCTTTCAACAAAAGGATTTTCTTCAAAAATAACATATGGCCATATTAACTTGGATGCTATTGCGTGTTTATATATATTACATATAGAATCCTACGACTTATAATGATCGGAGCATTTTTTGAAAAACTGGAGTTGGTTGTCAGTTCAGTATTCTTGGCACTTAGCAAAATCTTTTAGATTAATATCTCAATTTAATTCAACGAGTGCCTTTAACATATTCATTTCTTCATAAAGGGCACCCGGAATTAATATGAGCCAAGGAAAATCTTTTTTTATTTTTTGTATATAATGATATGATACTCCATCACAGATAACTACAACCCATTTACGGCTACTATTTTTAACTCCAGATATTTCTTCAATATGCTCAAGAACTTTTCTAGCATTAGTAACCAAGTTTGGATTAATTCCTATTAGATCAGGAATGAATATTTGTGGCTCATGGACTTCACTTTCCAGAATTGATCGTTGTTTAAATATGTAAGGAGAAATGGATGATTTTTTAGTAGCATTTACGATCTTAGATTGTTCGTCGACTATTTTAGCAAGTGTTGATAATTTATTTTTGCATTTAGGACAAACTTGTTTCTTATTATCAATATTAGAGATCTGGCAAACTAGACATTTTTTCATATGTCCTATTTGACTTTGCTGATGAACCAATTCATCGATTATATTCGTTTCTTGATTTTTCTCAATGCAAAGCTCACCTAAAATAGTCGAAAGATAATTAGTAAGTTCCTCATTAATTTCATTACTCATATCTGATAATAAATAAAATAACTCTTCATATTGTTTTGGGTCAAGTTCTATATATAGCCAAGGATTTTCACTTTGAATATCATTACTCTGGCTATAGCTAAATACAACGAAACTCATAACCGTGTGGAATATAACTGTATTATTCCCATGATCCAAATAGTTTTTTTAACTTTTCTGTTCGTTTATCAAAGGCCAAAAACAAAAAAAACCCTCAGGAAGCTGTAGTTGTTTTCCAGCTAAACT